GGGGGGGGGGGCTTTACCTGTCGAAGGTACAAGAAAAAGCAGGAATACTGTCCAGCCTCCGGTAAATAGGACAGGAATACTGTGATACACATGCGCAGAACTGTGGAATCCTTCCCCACTTTCTTTAGGGACTGCAGAAAAAAAAAACAAGGTCAGTAAAAAGATAAATGTCTCTGTAGTTGTAGTTAAATGACTTTTTAATAGAGCGAGGGGGTGGGGGGGGGGGAATAACAGGTTCCTGAATGTGGGTGAATAAATGTGTGTTACAAGCATAATTTAAAGCTTAATAAAATGAAGTTCTATTTCAAAAGTTTTTTCATTCAGTTTAAGCAGTCTACTAAAAAGTAACTCACTTTCAGGAGTGAAGGAATATAGAAAACAACAAATCAAAATGCACTATTCCAAATCTGTCATGCTGTAAACTGACTACATGCATCAAATCTCGTCCAGAACCACGTTTTTATAAAAATGAAATACCACTTCAGAATGTAATGAATTCCTCTACTCTCCATAGTTCTCTTTAGAGTGAGGGAAGCACAACACCGTCTGCGTATAAATTACTGACAATGACTCACAACAAAAGGGTCAGCTTGCTGCCATGAGATTGGTGCTCCCCAGGATGTAAGTCTCATCTTCTCCTGCAGAGATTCTGGCACAGCCAGTAAGATGAAGCAGATGTCCACAAGCGCAATGACTGTGGCCACCAGCACCACTAGATTGTCTCCATAATTATCAGAGAGGTAGGCACCGATTGCTGGACTGGTGACCAAGCTAGCAGCAAACGTTGCAGATACCTGGTACAGAAAAAGGAAATTCAGCAGCCTCAGCAGAAGCCAAGAAATTCTACAAACATTGAACTGAGGTATGTAAATATTTTATATAGATCTTTCACATAAAAGTAACAAAAAACCCACAAAATCACTCTGGTGCTTAAAGATGGAGGTGCTCACCAATCCATATGCTGTATTTCTTTCATGTTCTTCAGTGACATCTGCTACATATGCAAATATTACAGAGAAAGTGACAGAGAAGACCCCAGACACAGAAATCATGGCAAAATACCACCTGAGAACAAATGAAAATTGAAGAAATTGTTAAATGACTTATCAATTAAGTACACCAACAAAATAATGAGAATCAAACGTTTTAAAATCTAAGCCCGTCTTGTGTACATGCAGATAAAAATTTAAACATTAGGCAATAAAGAATATTCATCATGCTAATGGACACATATAAAGATACACATGAATAACTTTCAGCCAATTAGGGTTAATGGTATTTAAGCCAAAGAAGAAGGAATTTCAAAACTCAGAACTTCTAAAGACCTGGGGCATAAAGTGGTTTCAACATGCTGGTTAAAAGTGAAGTCTGTGGAGGAACATGCAACTGGACACAAAGAGCAGGGAGCTGCCCTCTTACCAGGGACTTATTCTTATGAGTGGAATCGGGGCACAGGTGAAAAACACGGTGACCAGCAGGAAAGGCTTCCGGCCCCACACGTCAGACAAGGCGCCAATGAGTGGAGCACTCATGAAGGACAACAGGCCCTGACATGGAAAAACAGGGGAGGATTAAAGAGCAACAAAGCAATGCTGGCCCACATCCAGCCTTCACACTTTAGGTAACCGAAACAGGCGCCACAATGCAGGACAGCACATACATGGTTGAGACTAAACTCATGAAGTATTCATTTAAATCTTTCTAAGTATAGGTACCAAAGAAATTGGAGAAATGCAGCTCTCATCACCAGTTTCCGGCTTTCGGTCATTTGCTTTTTGCAGGAATATTTCTCTCATAACTTTTGTCATTGGAAAATGCATTACTATAGCAAATGGGAGTGCATACACTAAAATGCTAACAATTAGTATGAGTTCAAAACAAATTAGGCACATATTTCCAGTTTGATCATCTCTTACCTTTACACCTTGAATGAGACCATTCATGAGAAACGTATGTTCTGGGAAGGTTTCATGTAGAACCTTAAATAAGATATATGTATAAATAAAAAGCATACAAGCTTTTGGAGCATTAAAACATTTCTTCAAACCTCTATATACTCTCATGCTTGAGACTTCCACGTGTACAAGTTCTGAATATTTTAGCAAGAACCCAATATTAAAGTAAGGCTGTAGAACCATAAAATGACTGTTACCATTATATTATACAACTTACGGTCAGCATAGGTGTGGTGAGCAGGCCCCAGGCAAAGAATTCCAGGAAAATGACCACCACAGCATGGGTAACACTAGCACTGCCCACACCCTGTTGATGAGGAGAAGAAATAAAAATAAACACTGCATTCATAAATTACTTTACTCCAAAGGATGTGCAAGTCTAAAACTATAAAGACAACAAACACAACTTGACAATGAACAAGGCCAGTTGCATTTTTACAGAAAGTAGGTATTTTTATGGTGAATGCATTTAATTAGAACACTGCTTCCTAACCCAGTCTTCAGCAACCCTCAGACAGTTCACATTTTTGCTCTTAGCCAGCTACCAACACACCTGTACCAGGTATTCCATGTTCTTGAATGGTGGGAGCTGGGATAGAGCAAAAACTTTGGATTGTCTGGGGGTCCCTGTGGACTAGGTTGGGAAACCCTGGAATAGAGTGATCCAATTTAAAAACTGGCTAAAACCAACTACTGCTAATGTATATAAAATTATATATAAAGTATATACATTTCTGAGAATAATTTCACACACAAAAACTAAATACTAAACAAATCCAAGTTTTGCTCTAGCAAGAACCTATACGAGAAAGTTGTAGAGCCAGTGGAAGGCAAAACACCCACAAAGAATCCCAGACACCAGCAATGCTCAGGTGACAGCATTAAGCAAAAGTACCATCAGCAGTCATTATTTAAATGTATAACACATGCATTTCATGTGTTTTAAAATGCATTAAAATCAAGAAAATAAAGTATACAAATTACGGAAAAAGTGAACCCACCCCCCAGTCCAACACAAGATCTTCTGCAAACGCCAAGTAAAATACGCTGTTGAAATGTTCCGTGAAATCTTCAAAGTTCCAGCTAAGTTTGTAATACTGTGTATTTTTGTTTTCAAATGACCAGTTGATTGAGATTCAATGATTCGTCTCATCTCAACAATTGACTTTTCAGAATTTTAGCACAAATAAAAGCTGCACTAGATGTGCAAGCACTTATCAATAAACACAATTGCCTACAAATATTTGACATAACTGAATAACAGTTCATAGTTCCTGGGAGAAAATGCCAGGCGACAGGGTGTGCAGGTCTTTACTGAACCTCAATTCAATGGTAACATTCTTCCTGACAACGTCACCTTATCTCATGTAAATCAGTTACTGGCTTAAACAAAATCCACCAACATGCAGATTTTAACAAGGCCGAGACTCTGATAAAAACATACCTTTCCCAAGCAAAAACAAACTGCAAGATGGGCCCAGAATTTCATCTTTTTTATGTTTATACCCACATCGTCGGACTTTCTGGCAGCACCACCAACAATCCTACTGATCTGCTATTCATTCAAGCTAAAGCTGCCTCTGTCACATCTCCTCCCATTGACCACTGCAGGATCAGTGCCAACACGCTAGTGCATCACTCAGTCTAAACAGCGCAAGATGCTGTCTTCTACATGCTAGAAACCTGTCAGACACTGTCAGATACCGATCCCTAGTGCTTTCATAGCATACTTTGAGGTTATTTTTTAACCTTTCAAAAGTACCACTTTTTGATAATGACGTGATGAATAACCTCTGCGACCAAGTACAGATTAAGGATCTGAAAGATGGATAGATGGATGACCGAACCGACTGCAGAACGCATGTATCATACATTCACCACACCTAAATGTTTGCATTTTTGGTGCGTCTGAATAACGTACCGAGAGACTCAAGCATGCCCCACACCTGCATATTTCTGCTACATTTCCGGTGCCCTGGACAGGCCTAGAAGCTGGTGTGGTTCGGAAAGTTACAGCTCTGCCAGCCAGGAGAGATTAACCAGTAAAATACATTTGCAGCTATCAAAGCACCAAGGTTGACAAAAAAACACAGGTAGTAGCATGGCAAACAGAACAAGACGGACAAGACACTTCTAGTTCCTTTTTCTAGTTTTTAAATAACACCCATTTTATTACACAGTTTAAAAATATGTGCTGTTTCAACTGAAGCAAAGGGTAGCGCTCCCGTTCACACTACCAGGGAACACAGAGTATGGTCGCCCGTCGGCCCAGCGCTCATAAGAATATCAAAGCAGCCTTTATTACCCTCCGCACAGTAATAAGAGATGTAACACTGCAATTAGCGGCAGGGCAGCCGGCTACGAAGACTGGCCTCACCACGAACGGGACAGATGAAAGGAAAAGCGATCCAGGGCTGCACTTTTCACGTTAGCCACCGCATCCACGGCAGCCGCCCGATACAACAGCAGAAGTAAATAAGCCGCGTAGTCACTCTGCTTTAGTGAAAAACACTGAGGGTTAAAGGGATGATGTTTATCGGTACATTGACGAACTCTGAAATGAACGGTTATTTGGGAAATTGGCGCTTCGCTTCGAGCTATAATAACACACCCGATACGTACCAGTATTTTGAGTATAACCGCCTTGCAATTACACAACTAACATTTATACACGAGTCCACACCTATTTATTCCGGCCCCGGAGTAAACAGCTCACTTCTGCTCTTTTTTAACTTGGACTAAAATGTGGGTGCTGCACCGATCAGCCCGCTGAGCATTTTCTTACTAATTTCAATTTTAACGGCTACAGCAATAACAAGGCTAAAATCAGAGGTCTACTTTACAGGAGACAAACGCTTTTTATCCACTAGATATCAGGGCCGCCTAGAGCTGAAGTACCGAAGCGGCCACGGTGAGTTAGCTAGCAGGCTAGTTAGCCAGAACGCTAACTACCCGAGGTTGCGTTGATTTTTAGAAACTTCTATAGTTACCCAAACCCCATATACTCGCAATTACAAATTCTGTTTGCTGTCCTTGGTTGCAATAATACTGAAAGGCAAAAAAACGCAATGGTCACTTACAGTGGCCCCATCTTTCATTATAATCCTTTTGACCAACATAATGCGGTTGGTCGCCTTCTCGGTTGTTTCCTGGGTCAATTCCTCACATCTTGCTGTAGTTATACAAAATCCATGCTGCGTGGATATCTTGGGTACACCTGCTTCTTCCAGGTTGCCTTCGGGTTTCACCAAGCCGATACTTTGCTTAGAATACAATTAGAACGGATGAGCAACGCAGACGCCGCTCAATTGTTCTTGTGGCACAGCTGTTATAATAGAAAGCCGAATTCCTGCTGTGGGCGGCCTCTTATAGACTGATCGGAGATCGCTAAAAGAGATTTTCAAAATCGATTAAAGCGGCACCAACTCGCGCCAGCCGATTCCAGACCAGTTCCGGAGAAGTCTTAGGTGCCACTTCCTGGGGATCCGCTGTAGACGCCGAACCGGAAAGGACGTCATCTGTGTCTATCGAGCTGTTTAACAGGGGGTTACGTTTGTGAGCGCCATCAGGCATAGAAAGTCAGTTTTGGCAGAAGGCGGTTCAGTGTGTTAAATGGGGGCCTCGTTATCCATTTACATGGCATTATAGTGAAGTACGACATAACGAATAAGAATATTTTATTAAAATTATGTTAGCTAGCAGAGTATTAAAATGCGAAAGAAACTTTCTCAAACATTCCACTTCTCCCAGAAGTTTTGAGAGTTCCCGCATATTGGTAGCGGCTCCCTGACGCCCGCAAATTATATATGATATCCCGGACATTTGTTTTTTAGATAGAGTGAGAGCGAGCAAAGACCCTACAGCTTATCTAGTATCTATGGAGAAGGAGCGCGGGCGTCTGAGAGCCGCTATCAATATGCGGGACACTCCTCTCTTGGCTCAAAAAATGTATGTATAGTATACTACATGAAATGATACTTAAGTTTACATTTGGACAAGTATGAATACTGGTACATTACCCAGCTTGCTCTCCTTTGAGACATACAAATGAGAAAGAAGCTTAAGGTCAAAGAGCAGGGCAAGCCATTTACCTGGCCTACAGAACCACACACACCCACCCATTGGCATGTGTGCATGTACATTGTATATATTAAGTAATCTTTTTAATGGTATGTCAATAGCTCAATAAGTAACAAATGGAACATGAAACTCGTAGAATGATCTGAAATTAACGCTGCTGCCTAGTTTCACTTCACTAGTGTAACCCAAAAAGTCATGGATGGTCCGTAATATGAGTAGACTGAGTTGACATTTATTAAATATGATAAGATGAAGGTAACAGGCCATAAAAGAAAGCCATTATAACAGCTCAAAGATACACACCTACAACGACATGGCAGTCCTAATTTTATTTTTGTGTTTTGCCGATCTTGCAAGTGAAGAATTGCACTTACACTCTGTGAGCACCGTGTCCTTTACTGCATGCTGAATCACATACTGTTTGATCATAAAGGTTTATGCAGCACAATGATTCATTTGTGTAGATAATTATTTGACTATGGTCCCTTGAAATTTAGTGCTAATTTTGAACTTAATGTCATGGCAATTCTTGGAATAGAAGACATTTTAACTAACACTGCAAGCTTTAAGAACACCCAACATTGCAGGAATTTATTAACTTGTTTGTATATTCCCATTCTCGCTCACTTTAGCAAAAACGAATGACCGGTGTGTAGTCGTCGTACAGTGGTTAGCGCTGTTGCTTTACCCATGTAAGGGTGAGCGTTTAAGATCCACCCCTGTTCTTCTCATGTGGAATTTGCATTTGCACATATTTTTCACCACATGCTGTGTTTATTTCCAAAGACATGCAGTTAGATAAAACTGGCGTCTCTAAATTGCCCATAGTGTGTGAGAGTGACGTTACCCTGCAGCCGGCTGGCATTGTGCCCAGTGTACCTTAGCCTTGTATCCTGTGCTGCCCTGATGCAGGGTCCAGGCCCCCATAATCCTGATTAGGATAAAATTGATGGATGTATTTAGCAATTAGTTTTTATTGTTTGTAAAATACTAAGAAGAATTACATGATATCATGCTAAGGGATTATTATGAATATTATTATTATCATGAGTATTATGAGATTCGTTCATGCTAACTGAGCATATATCCTTGACAAGCTTACTTTAATTATATATAGGACCTTGCGTGATCATTTCATTGGTTGCCAGAAGGGTTCTTGTTTATAGTTGCTAGGCAACATGAGTAGCTTCAGCTCAGTTTGTCTCAGGATAACAAGAGAGAACATTTGTGAAGTTACAGGTAACAGGAAAAAAATTGCATTCATCTTGTTTTTATGGTTTAGAATTAAAACTGCTTATGTTGCTTGAGACTGTATAATAAGACTTTCAGAACTGAAAGCAATATTTGTGTAGCAAAATATCGATAATATGTACTCTAACTGTAGTGTCAAAGCACACAGAAAAGGAGGATTAAACAACTGATGTGTGGGTATTAATTTAGTTTCTATTTTCCAGGGATCCAAAATGGCTTTGGCAAGTGGCCAGTGGATTAATAAAGAAGTCCAGGGCGACCCACCAAGCCCCAGGTAAATTACCCAGTGGGTTTCACTCTCAGAAGGATATTGTTTTTCTCTAAGTAGTTGTAGAAGTTCATATGTCAGCCACAGTTTCCAGTCAGTTTATAAAACATTTTACCAAAAATATGCATTTTTATGGTAGTATGGTGAGTACCTTATGGGTTTTGTAATTGCTTGCTCAGGTTCATAAGTAAAATGTTTGATAGGGAAGTCATTTTTTTTTCGAGGATCACCTTTTGTAATATATTTATCTTTTATCAAACAATGTAAGACTGAGATAATGTTTTTTTTTTACATAGATATGGTCATGCTGTTGCTGTAACAGGAAACATAGCTTTTTTGTTTGGTGGTGTGTCCACTGTGAACTTTCTGGTAAGCAATTCATCAGAATTATTCTATATTTGACTATGATTCTTCTTACAACATCATGTTTCTCTATAGCATATATACTTGTAGTATGTCTATGTATTTGTTTATTTGGCAATACTTGGAAAGAGGGCACACTGAAAAAAAATAAAATGTTGGAAATGTAGAATCAACTTCATATTTGAAGTAATCAATCACACAAAATATTTGAATTTGTCTTAATGTAAATAATGTATTCAGTTTAACCCGTAAAAACAGGTTCAACCATAAACATAAATGAGAAAGTTACATTTAAATGAACAGACTAATAATTTTCAATTATTGGAATGAGAATAAACACATGGAATGTACAACAGCTTTGTTTTATTCCTGCAGTGTTGAGTTCTCGTTTAGAATCCAAGCAATTTTTGTTTTGGAATATTTCTTTATTTAAAAATTATGAGTTTTAAAATGTTTTTTCCAACCATTTCTTAAAAACAATTATTTGAATTCATACACTAAATCTGCTAAAACTAATAAGAATATTTTAAAAGGCCTTCTAATGTATATTTTTTTTAATTGTATTTTGTAAATTAGTTAATGTTTACACAAATTCTCTCCAACATGGAGACTTTCTCCAATAATATTTAGAGGCAGCTCATTCCCTCTTCCAGGACCCACAATTATTAAGTCATCTGACATCGTCATCTTAGGAATTCAATGTTTATCCATCCCGTAGGCTTCAGGCACCAGTTACTCTAAGTATCATACAATGTTGTTTGTTGCGCACTGAGATTGCATAGCAGAACACAGAAGAACCATCTGTTTGCAAAGTAAACGAAACATAAACATCAATTTCACATATAAGAATGACTTTTGATGCCCTTGGCAAGACTGTAGTGAGAAATACATTCTTAGTCACCGGGGAATCGTGACCTGGCAACTACATCTGACAAAATGTGTAGCAGCAGCACAAACGTCTGCAACAACTGCTTTTAGAGGAGACAAAATAGCACTGTAATGTTATATTACAGCTTGGCTTAGGGCTAAGCTTAAGTTATGGGGTAAGAATGTGACTGGAGTGAGACTGACTGAGGGGAGGCAAAGATGACCAACAAGACAAAATGTTGCATTCTCAGTACCCCTGCTATATTAAGATGTGCTTTATTTTTAATTATTACACGGCTCTCTGGAATGCTTGATTCTGATTGGTCAGTTGAGACATTTGCAGGTTCGTTATTTTCAAATAATAACCGCTCCAAAGTAATAACGCATAGTCACGTGGTACTATATCGTTTCGCGGAAAAATAAAAATGTTATTTTAAAACAAATATGCCAATAAAATGTTTCAAATTCATATTCATGTCCATGTCATTCATGTCATTTTCCTTATGTGGCAAGTAGCCGTGTAATAAGCGGGATACCTGCCTGTACATTATCCCTTACATGAACACTATTGACTGTACAGTTAGTTATTTTGCCAAAACCTAAAGGTCAAAAATCTGTTTTTTTTTTTTTTAGCATGAACAGCCAATATATCTGAATGATTTCTATGTACTTACAGGTAAGTTAGCATTTATTGTTTCACCGAGTACTGTTCCTAATCGTTTTAGTTGCAAAAATGCATGGTAAGTACTGGTTTTATTTGGAAACCGTTCTTTAAGATTTAGTCTTGGACAGGCATATCAGGATATTAAAAAAATGATAAAGTAACAAGGCGTCAGTGAGTTTTTGCATTTAAAATTCTGTAAATATCCAAATGAAGAATACAAATTCTAGAAAGTGCTTTGCACGTACCCGTCCTTATTTCCCCTGATATGAGCCTCAACAGTACCACGAAACAGATATTTAGTAATTAATTAGCTAAATATATTTAATCACACTTAATTTTTGTGAAATATAGTGGAAGTGAGTGATAAATTACTGAAATTATCATGTTGCCTACCTTTCCGCTAATCTCCAAAACCGAGGAAGCATGATAATTATTCTGAGTGCAAGCCCACCATATGTCCTTTGTCATTAAGTGCAACAGGCCAGTTTCTCTGCATCTAAAGAAGGTAACTGCAACATGTGCCTCTTGGTGAGTGATGAAGACTGTTTGCCAGATCCTTCCCCAGAAATAGGTTGAAATTGTAGGCTCCCTTTTACTTGAAGAGAGAATTGGAAGAAGGGCATATGTAAAGTAGTGAGAGAACAGCTTGGAGTGGTGACTGTGGAAGATATGAACAGAGGAACAATGGACTAGGACTACAGCCATTGAACTTTTAAACGACCTTTTTAGAGATAAACAGTAGTTGTGTTAGTTGTGAATATTATTGCACAAAAAACAATCTAACCCCTACTAACATATAAGTTCTCTGCTATATTTCTGAGTTTAATCATTTATTTCAAAATGTTTTATTAGTTGTTTTTGAAAAACAAAATCAAAAATACGACGTTTTCCTGTTCTGTTTCAGTTTCACCTTCAAACATTACCTGGGAAGTTTTGCCACAAAGTGGAGCTGTACCATCAGCAAGGGAAGGACATAGTCTTTGGTAAAGAAAGCTCAAAACATGACATTAGCATATTGCTTTTTGTGTGTAATTTGTGTAATTCAGACTTCGTCAAAACTATTTGTTACCACTCACCTTTAGTCTAATTAGATCGAATTTCTGTATGAAGACTGAGAAATTAAAAACTAAATATGTCACCTTAAATTTGGTATTAACAGGCATGCTGCTGAATTGAATACTCACTTTTCACTTTTTTATATTGAAGTAATATGCTCTTTCTTTTATAGTGTGGTTAAAGGGAAGCTTTATTTGTTTGGGGGATCTTCGTTTCCACAAGCGAGGGAATGCCTGGCAGGAATCTACTGCTTTGACATCAGTAAGATCACATTAACAAGCCACATTATTAAAATGATTCAAAAATAAACAGAGATACAGAGTCTTAGGTCACAGAATATGTTTAAATTTAGTAATTGTATATTTGCTCAAAATAATTTAACAATATAGAGTATGCAAATTAAAAGGTACCAAAAAACTAATAACAATTTCAGCCGTTCTACTAAAAGTTACTGACATCTTGTTGGATGGCTAGATGAACACCGCTTCAGTTCCCAAACCTAGCTTCATGGACACCCCAGCCATTTTATGTATTTCTTAAACTTGACCACAAGCTCAATTAATGAACTAAATTAGGTTAATAAGAGGGGTGGTTGGTGATGTAGTGGTTAGCACTGTTGCCTCACATCTCTGGGACCTGGGATTGAGTCCCCACCCACTGCAGTTTGCATGTTCTCCCCACATCATTGTTGGCTTTCCTCTGGCTACTCTGGGGTCCCAAAAACATGCCGAGAATAATTGGAGTTACCAAATTGTCTGTATGTGCGAAGGGGGGGGGGTGTGTGCCCTGCAAAGTGTTGGCACCCCATCCTAGGTTATTCCCTGCCATGTTCCCATAGCTTCCAGGATAGGCTATGGACCAAGTCAAAAAATACATTGGTGTTTGGCAGGGTTCCCAAATTATGGTCCTGGAGGGCCAGAATCCAACACAGTTTGCAGATTTTCTTGTTTGAAGACACACACTAAACCTGATAATTAGCTGATTAAGATCAAGTGTTTCAGCATGGGAGTCTGCAAACTGCGTTGGATTCTAGCCCTCAGGAGCATAACTGAGGAAGCCTGGTGTTTGGGATGGTTACTGCAAATACTGGGGTAATATTTAAATGTTTTCAAGTGGCTAAGTTGACACTTGAAGTGTCAACATAATATCCTAGTTTTACACCAACATTAGACATAATATCCTAGTTTTACACCAACATAAAGATGATTTTCACATCATTTTCTTTGACTGCCTAAAACTGTTGCACAGTACTGTACATCTGTTGCAATGCAGGAAAAAAGGTCATAAATCGATATGCTTTCATTTTTAATTTACAAATGAGTCTATTGCAACACTGTACTGGTTTCTTGTAGAACCCTATAAATAAACCTATTTAGGAATTTACACACACACATATATATATATTATTGGCATTCATATTAATAGCAGATATGCATTTCCAGTTTCACTCACATGGGAGAAGCTGAAAACTTCAGGAGTATCTCCCAGGGGTCTGAAGCACAGCTCTGCAGCAGTGGGTGACACCATCTATGTATTTGGAGGAATTGTTGATGGTATCATTACAGATGACCTGCTGATGTTCAACACAGGTCTGGGGAATTTCTTTATAAATCAATTCAGCTAAATTTAAAATCGATTTACTTTGGCATAAAACTTAAATAGCATCTCTTTACATTTTGCCAGTATCATTGACCTGGACTCCAGTTAAGACTACTGGATTTCTTCCATCTGCAAGGTAAATTACATCATCTTAAAAGTACTGGGTTTTTAAATTTACAACTTAGCCGCACGCTGCAAACTTGAAGGACTTAATTCATTTATTTCATACTTCCCTTATTTCCTCTAGACAAGTATCAGCCAGAACAGAGATAAATGATTGTACTTGTGTGCATGAGCATTATTTGTACTTAGAGTACATACTAAAAATGACTGTTACAGAGACAACATATTTAAAAAGTTGTTATGCAGGTCATTCTTCTTGAAGAATATCTTCAGCTGTTTGCAGACAGGCTTTACGCAGTCGAGTGCCAAAACAGCTTAGCTGAATCTGCTGTGTGCTCTTTCTGGTATGTGGCAAGGCCAAAGCCTTCACAATTTGCCTCTATTCATTCTGTCAGTAATAAACAATGGAAAAGTGCACTGCATCTGTTCTGCCAAGAACATTGGAAAATCAAATTTATAAAATCGTTACAATGTTTAGTATTATACATTGACTATATTGAATTATAACGATGAAAGGAATAAAATGTGGTAGTCATCATGTTAAACTGAGAGCTATGTAGTAATAACCAGGTAAATGACTTCATGCTGTTGCAAGGGATTGGCAAGGATCGAATATACAGTTGACCTTTAGGTAGGAGGCCACAAGTTGTGCTAAGGCAGATAAGATAGCATGTCAGTTAAAAAAATAGCATCATCAACTTTTTGAAAAGAGACAGATTGGCAGGATGCAGAAATAAAAACATGGAAAAAACAAGAATATCAGTTCAATGGCTGACAAACAGGTACCTTTATACTTTCAAAGTAAACATTGGGGGAATTTTTCCATAGCCCCTATTTATTTATTTGAAATATTTTTAACTAGTGGTTTTCAGGATTAGATATAATCGACACGAAGACATACTCTAAGCTTTCTAATTGGGCCTTAAAAAGACCTGGAAGGCTGTCAAAGGGTTGAACATCTGTCATTGCTCTTCAAACACTGACCTGAAGATGTTCTGCAGTTCACTGTCTTTGTTTCTTAATATAGTGACAGGCCTGGTCTGTAAAATCTGGCCTGACTTCCATGGCAAACAGCCAAGGAGGGGACAAGAGGGCAACTGGGGACTTCACAATATGCCCTTTCAAGACCGAGACATACAAAGACCACATTGAATATGTCCGTCTGTCTATTTCGAAGCCATATGACTAAAAGCCACAATAAGCATAAGGATTTTACCAAGGGAAACTGTTGCCGCCTCCTGTTCTCACAGCACTCACCATGCCCTGTGCCGCTTTCTAAACATCTCTCATTTGACACACAAGCCTTTAACCCTCATCTACTTCAGGTCCCACAAGAAGCCATTATTGGCAGAATGCTGGTGTTCCTGTGGGCAAATGGGGCTTGAGCGAGCCAGACATAAACCAGCTTGTTTATTGTTGCTATAGAAACTTTGACACAGACTGTTTCGGGGGATGAATATAAATTAAAATACTGTTAACTGATTTAGTAAGTAAATATTTTCGTCTTTAGGATGTCAAGTAGTTCTGGTGTAAGTTTGATAAATTACGGGATGTGTGGATTTATGAAAATGGTTGTAATGGCTACATTAGCCACTCCTTTGCAGTTTTTCTTAATGTGATTATGCTGAAGATGCATTCAATACAAGTCATAAAAACATACAATTTCTTATAAAACATAAGAAATTAGACAGATTTGTTGAATCTACTGCTACTCGCTGACAAAGAGGTAATAGACATATATCTTTGAATTTTCTTAGAGTTAGCAATAGTAGCTGGGCTTGTTGGTACTTTTTCTCTTGCACAGCAAATGCAGTCTGTTGCTATGCTGTAGTAACTGTAGCTGATTGTGCTCTTGTCTTGTGAAAATTAATCTGACGACCATCTGTTCTGTACTGTGAATGCCATTGTTCTTGGCACACTGCAAACAATGATTCTACTGGGACCCTCAATAAATTCATTTTCTCTTTGTTGGAACAAGCGCCAGAAAAGTATGTCACATTCAAATGTACTGTAATGTACCTTTCCATCTTGACAAAGACTGGTGCACATTTATTAAGTAGTAGTGTTTAAATAGTAGTTTACACTGCTAGGGTCTAACCAGATTTGTGGATAACAGAAATCATCTTTGATGGCAACATTCAACCACATTTAGCATTTGACTAAATGTACATAACTGACGCTAGTATTAGGAATTTCATTTTTTCTCCATTCTGTTGTAAATAAAGAAGAGAAGTGTGGTGGCTCAGTGAGTATCGCTCTAACCTCAATCCAAGTTCATGAGTTCAGTTCCCAGCCCCAGCCCTGTACAGGTTTAATGTTTTCCCAAAACTTTTTGTGGTTTTTTGCAGAGTCCTTTGGTCACGTTCCCATCATAAGGCTTGCAGTTACACCAACTGATGTCTCTAAACTTATTCCTAGTGTGTGCCTGAGTGTATGTCCTGTGATGGACTGAAGTGTAGACTCTATACTGCATGGCATTTGTACATATAAATAGATACTTAATTGCTAAATTGTTGCACTTTTCAGATTTGACCACAAATTTGCAATGGTCAGTGAGCAGATCTACTTGCTTGGAGGCTGCTCAGAGAATAACATCTACTGTAAGGATGTCCACGTGCTCAATACAGGTAACTGACCAGAATGTCATATAAAATATGGTACTATAATACTGTATTGTGTTATATATGTGACAACCTGCATGATACATTTTTCTCAGTTGTCACACATCTCTAAATAAATGTAACAAATTCAAACTAGGTCCATTTCCCAAAACGATTTTTATATGGTATAGCACAACACTGTAGTTCACCTGCAAAAGGCTGCAACTCACTCAAAACCTCATGTTTCAAAATTAAATGACTTGTTTATTAAGAAGTCTGTGCCATCAAAATGTTTAAAACCAATACAGTCAACATGCTTAAACATATTGTTAATATACCAGATACCAAATTCAACAGTACAACGTTTCCCACTGCACATGTCAAACATCACTTGTGACTGCAGGACTCATATGTAACTCACAATTCTCCTGTCACAGTTTAATTACATAGTAAAGTGCAGGAAATAGTAAGTGCAAAAAGAGAGAAAGTTACACATTACTGTATAGTAAAAAAAATCTTACTATAAGGCATAAGTATAGACACAGTGCTGTAATGTTCATCCCTTCCATTCCTCTGGACAAACTGTCGCTTTTGTCTATAACTCCCCTTCATAAATGAAATTCAAGATTAATCTGACCAGCAATTCGTCAATTTAGCAGATATTACAACAATTTATGAAAGTATACACTTGACAGATTACTGTTAGTTGGACTGTTTCACATGTGATTATTTGTACAGTGAACAGATGTATACATGTGTGTTGAGAGTAAAACTAAACAAAGAAGCAACATAATCCACTTTGAATAGCAAGACTTACTAAATTGATATGTATGTAATAATTTGCATAAACATGCTTGCATATTTGCAATTTGTGTGAAATGGGTATTTTGTTGTGAACAAGTGAGCTAATGGTTTAGAAAGTTTTCACACGTTGTTTCTACACCATTTTTGAGTTTGTGCCAAAGCAATAAAAATCGTTAACTATAAATAATGGGTAATATCCACCCATCCATCTGTTATCCGCTTATCCTCATTAAAATAAAAGTAACAATAATAACAATAACACTAACTGTAACATTGATATTAATTTAGGTTGAATCCACCAAATTCAGTCTGTTTATGTAGCTGTAAATTTCAAGTTTGTAAATTTCAGGGCAGAATATTAGACATTTTCTGCTTACACATTTTCCGTCTCTCAGTCCCTCTTGGGTGCTCTTACCAAATTCTTAAACTGATTTTATACTTGTGCATGATGAAAATATTAGATATTTCTTATACATATGTTGTGGAGAATGTCATTATAATTTACACTTCATTAAACATTTGCCATACTGACTCTTTCAGGCACATCATTACATCAGTGGCTTGCAAAAGGCAGCATATTTCAGTCATCGATGGTATAGTCTAGTTCCCCCATGAAGAAACTTAATCTCTCACTGAGCAAAATTACGCATGGATGGATGGATGGATGGACAGCTTTCAGCTTGTCTACTTTAAAAATAACTATAGTACACTACCTTGTGTAATCATAGATAAACAGTAGAATGTCTTTCTTAGTCATTTGCATTTATTGTACGATTCCCCTGCTGGTGCTCAAAAAAAGACATACATTTATTCCATCAGCATATCACTGAAAGAATTTGCATTTTTTTCTAGATAGCCTTACATGGCAGAAATGTGAGGTGAAAGGAGTATGTCCCCTGGCTTGCATAGGATACAGTATCACAGCACATCATGACAAGGTAACTAATTATTTTAGATTCAAAAAGAAACAAAAACAGTCATTACCAAAAATAGCAACATGATTTTACAGATTATGCATCAAAATGCTGTTATTGTTGCACTGGTGCACTACTACTTTAGTTACTTCCTAAAAAAATGTTACTACCTAAAGAAGATGAAACTATTCTGTCAAGTTTTACAGCTAAGTTTTGGGGGTGTTAAAGAATGCAAGAATGGTTATACTGTATATCAGAGCTTTTCAGAGCTTTAAATATTTTTCTCAATTTCTTGAATTCAGGATATCTACTTGTTTGGGGGGAAATGCGCCAGTAAGAATGGAGCTGTCGCTTCAACAAATGAAATACATAAACTGAGCATTGGTATGTTAATGTGAGTACATTGTGAATGTGGGTGATTGTCTGTGGCTCAGCAGGATGCAACCCTTTGCCTGTGATCGCTAGATCACTGGTTCAGATTCTAAGGTTGGGCCCTTAGGCAAGAACCTTTCTCAAAAGATGTCTGTTGCTTTGGGTAAGGCATCTGCTTCATAAGTAAGACTTACTTTTAAAAAATAATTCTCAAACTCTGTTTGTTCAAATGAAAACTTTCAGGTGTGCAAATGGCTCCACCTGGTGGCAAGATGTCCCTTGTCTATGCAAACAGCCTTCACAGCTGTATTACTAAGAATCCCCTTTACGTCTCCACCTGTATATTCAGCTATAGAAACATATATAAATAGTTATTGAAACTAGGACTTTAGGATTCAATTCCCGTACAATCGCAAAAGAAATGATAATCATTCATGATCGTTGGAACCGGTGGGATGGGAGAGATGTATCCCCCATAATATTTAATTATGCTTCATTTGTCCCCCTGTAAACAGACTTTTGTATTTAAATCGTGCCACCCCCCAATCCCAGACCCTCTATGCCGTCATTTTCTTGTCTCCAGAGTAATATTGTTTCTCAAGTCAATGAATGAGCATTTTAACAAGGCTCAGTTTAGCTAATAAATCAATGATTGTTTCTCCTGTGCAGAACTACCGTATATTATGTGATCAGATAGTGCTAAATGGCTAATAATGTTTCAGTTATATCCATCCTCATATAAATAACGGAGCTGTAACTGCTTTTTTAGCGGTACCATTCTGAGGCGAAATATTTAGATGCTATATATTTTGTGTGAACTCCTAAGCACATTTTATTTTCAGTGAAAATGTCTGCTGTACAAATTAAATGCAATATGTTTTATTTAAATGAGAGCTGTCTCATTTTGTCTGTTACAGTATAAACTGAAAAAGAAGGAATTTTATTAAGATGTTTGTGCAAGCTGTTGGCATTTCTGTCTGTAAAAGTAGCCTGTCCCTTCAACAATGTCTTTGGTTATGCCAAATTTGGCTGAAACAAGATTAAACGCAAAAAAAATGTTTAGAAGATTTCACACCTCATTAGAACAATGTGTATGTGAACCCATTTAATCCAATTTTAACTTCTTCATTACATTAAAAAGTTTTGAATATGTTTTTAAGTAAAGAAACATCAATTCGGGGCCTGCAGCTTTCTATGGCGGCATTCAAAGACAAAATGCGTCACAGCGGCATAACATTTTGAAGGCTCCTTTTGCAGCCTAGAAATGTAGGCTTCTTTTCCCAGGCTGCAAAGGATCCATCGACCTTTCCCAAGATGCAATGCGTGGACCTTTGAAGAAAGCAGCCTACAAAAACTGTGTCTGAACTCAGGGGCTGCATCATCCAAAAGACATAGCCTTTGTAGGCAGCGTTCTTCAAAGGTCGAACGGAAAGCGTTGTCAAACGGGATGGTCTGGCCTTAAGATAATTTCTTTTTGCATCACCAGCTGTTCACCCTTGAGTCACAAAGCGCCACTCCTATCGTCTAGCCGGTTTACCCCTGCGCAGTGAATCCAGGGATATGTTGATGGATTGCGACTCAGCAAAAGCGCCGTGTATTTCTAGACCGAATTTGAAGTAGCCTTCGAATTGGGACAGACTTGTCGCACCACTGTGATGCAGTCAGTCTTCGAAAGCAGCCTTCAGACACAGCTAAAGATTACCTAGACTGGGTCCTGTGAAGGGTGCAGCCTCTGCCTTCAGACACAGCTAAAGATTACCTAGACTGGGTCCNCCTGTGAAGGGTGCAGCCTCTGCCTTCATACACGGCTAAAGATTACCTAGACTGGGTCCTGCGAAGGATGCAGCCCCTGAATTGAGACACAGCTATAGACTGCCTAGGGCACTGTCTTCTGAGGGGGCACAGACTCAGCTAGCCAATTCTATTTTGTCGGTGCATGTTGGGGGGGGGGGGGGGGTGTTGTGGAAGTAAAGCTTGCCTAGGGCTTATGGATTATTTAAATCCAGTACATAAACCATATAGATAAAATGGCATAATAGAGTAGGCAGTTCTGCCTTACTATTGACGCACTATATTTTGTGTTAGATTATTGTTGAAAAATATTTGATATTTGATTTCCTTTATAACATGGAGTATGTAACAGTGCATGTCTGACATGTTATTAACTGGTTTTTTGGCGATGACAGAGCCAAATTCTAGGCTGTCCTTTAACTTTAAATGCACTAGTTAACTGTTCCATCCCATGAAACAGAGCAGTGTTTAATGTACATTCTGGAAAGAATACCTCAAATTTTCTCTGCTGTTATGACTGCTGGAGGAGGTTACCTTGATGAATCAAAGATATGACATTTTCTTGCTAATAAAGGTACTCAAATGGTGACCATACTGTAAATTTATTTGTGAGCAAACCAAATTGAGTATATTTTTATTAAATGTTAAGTGAATGACATGCAAATGTAGAAAATTTCAGAAACTTTTGGCTGGTAGTGTAAAATAAACCTATAACTGGGAAATACAAGTGTACTGCCACTGGGAGCACTGTAGAGTCCAACTGGATCTCATACAGTGTGTTAGATTGTAATTGTGTGTTTCCTGGTCCCGCAGTGATGGAGTCTATTTTTGATCATTTCAGTTCAACATAACTGAGAGAACCTCTTTCAGTTTTAAAATGGCAGGGGCTTTAAGTTAGAATCTGATCTAATGTCTCTTTGTATGTAGGCACATTTTTATAGCACATAAAATAACAGGCACCTTAATGTTTGTGTTGTTTATTTCAGTTTTTGTGGCCAGTATGGAGGGAGTGGTCCACAGCAGTAGGCAGGATACACTTGAGTCACACTGAGGGCAGCTGAAAAACTTCCTTTTTAACATTTTTTAAAGCAAAGTGTTAGAATACAACTGAGCCTCCATGGAATATTTAAGACAAATCTTGCAGCATAACAAAACCAGTAAAAACAAAAACAGAAAATAGGCATTTGTTATTTTGCTACCTAGAAACATACTTCTGCTTTCTCCCCGGCACTTATAGCATGATAACACAGCTGACATAGCTATCCAAATTATCCAAATTATAGTTAAACAAAAGCCAGCCCTGTTGCATTGGTAAGAGGCGAGCCGAAGGCAGCGCTGGCAGACAAAATCTTCTTCAGGTTGTTCTAAAACATTTCCCTGGGGGTGCAGCATGCGGTTTCGTTTGGATCACTCTCATAATTATGAAAGACATTTTAAGCTGCAAATCTGAAAATCGCAGCCAACCTTTTTTGTGATGTTTAATTTTTGTGATGCTATGTTAAACATTGAATCTTTTGTGCATATTCTATTTTTTGCTCTTTTATTTTTTAATGTATTTCTCTGTTATCACAGTATTTTAGTCCATCTAGTATTTTAGTTTTGTCTGTAGTGTTGTGTTGTGTTTGTCTGTAATGTTGTGTTGTGTATAATAATTGTGCATCCTTGGCACCAGAGAGCGTTTTTTTTTAGAAAGCCTTTTTTCAGTTTTTTTCTAGGCTCACAGCCAGGGCCAGGGTTTTGAGAAGATATTTTCAGCTGTACATTTATTTTATGGCTGAGGCCAGAACCAAACCATCTCAGTAAAAGAGAAATCTCATTTCGGCTTTATGGCAGCCTCATGAAGCATATTGTTTTGGTTTCATTCTTAATTTGCTCACCATCATATGGTCTCCTGCATCATTCCTCTTATCCGGGTTAAGAAATCACCTTTTGGTGATACATTTTTCATCACAGATCTCTTTTCTGAGCAATTCTTCTTCTCCCAGCAAAGATGAAATGGAAGGTGCCTCTGTACATGGGGATTCCACCAGCCCGCCGGCACGACCACACAGCGTTCATCATTCATAGTCATGTGAGTGTCGGATGAAGAGAACTAAGACCTTTGTGCCCTCTCCTCTGGCTAAGAGCAACATTTCTGATTTCACTGGGAGCAGTGGGTCATCCAGATGTACTGTAGGTGGAGTGCTCAAAATGTACACTTCTGTGCTAACAGTTAAAGCAAAATACCCTTAAGTTAAAACCAAATAGTATTTTTTAAAATGAAAGCTATATAGTAAGTTTCCTGTAAGAATGGGTTTCAGAGTATGCATCAATGAGGAATGGAATATATGTAACATAGTAATTTGGTAATGCTTCACATTGACTGCACCTTCATAATGTATTCATTATGCATTCGTAGAACATTTGGTGCACCTTCATAATGCATTCATAAAACATTCAGTGCACCTTCATAATGCATTCATAGACCATTCATAAGCATTCATAAGTATACCTTAATACCCTAACATCTTTAACAGCTGTAGCATACATAAACATTATGTTATAATAACAAACATTATAATCATAGTATGATCATATAATGTTTTTTATTAATGTGTATTAAATGTATATCAGGATGTTAAGGTATACTTACATGCTGCTTATGAAGGTTCTATGAATGCATTAAGAAGGTGCAGTTAATGAAAAGCGTTACCAAAAATTTATATCAGACCTTGACAGCATGATAACTGTTTCATTAGTATTGTGTAATTGTACTGAATAAATGATCTTTGAAATATCTTGTTAGTAAAACTTGTAGGAAATTACACAGTGTAAATCTCTGTGGAACTCTGCAAAGGTAGCCAGCATGGTAAACTCTCTGCCCAGTGCAGGTTCCTCCAGGGTGGATCTGCTTATACGCACAGACATTTATGTGACCAATTATCTGCCAGACCTGGAACATTCCGGTACAGACATGGCTCCCCCAACACGCAACAGCATGAAATCTAGTACAATCTCCGGCATCCTGCCTGTGAAGCTCTCTTTTTTCTTTCCTGCTGGATAGTAATAGGCTGCTCATGAATAATTCATGAATTGTAGCATGCTGTTAATACAGTCGAGTGGCAGCCAATGCAGTGTCATTCAAATGGCCCTCAGCAAGGAAAACAGGAGAGGGATGCAAATGCTTGTATTCAGACCACAATAAAGTGACTTCATGTTTAAATGAATTTTCATTTAAATTTTAACATAGCGAGAGTTTTAGTGGTTTATTTCTGGTGTATATTCCATTACTATTGCAGATGATTTAATATAATTCTTGTGTATTGCTTCTGCATATTTATTTACATTTTACTTCACATGCAGTATTGGAAAACTTCATTTTAATTGTGTGTTTATGAGAAACACACCCGTCTTTAGCTGTGTCTGTGAATTCTGTTCGGCATTAACATCTTCCAATGCAGATTTGGTCTTTTAGAGGAAGCTAATATGATTGGTGGAATGTCATCTGTCCTATGTTTGCTACCAAGGGAACTCTCAAAAACGCATGTTACGTTTGACAGGGCTGCAGGGTTAGTGTAACACATTAAGTTTGCGATCCAGCACTTCCCATTGGCTGCTCAGCCCACTGCTGTGTCCCTGTATGACCCAGTTTGGAGATATTAAGGACTTCCCTCTTCAATTACAGCAATTAAATTCTCCACTGTCTTTTTAATTTTTGTGTAGCTTTTGATGTGTAATAAATAATGCTATCACAATTCACTCACACTCTAAACCAGGTTTTTTATACTATTGTATAGGTTTCTACCAATTACATAAGTTTATATGCTCATATACTAAGAATATTTTTTCTGTTAATTAGATGTATGTTTTTGGAGGTAAAAATGAAGAGCAAGAATTCGGTGACCTAAAGGTGATGAAATTAATCAACCCCTCTGAAAGACAGCCAGGTAACATTATAATGAGTGTAAAATGCTGCTTTTGAAACAGGATCCTTCCACAGAAATGTGTAGTGTAATTTTTAATTATTTAACCAAATTCAACAGAGGCAGTTTACGAATAGAAGGCAGAATGTAAATCATTTTATTGGCCTTTAAAACACTCTCTGATTTAGGTTTTTGTTCAGCAATGTTAGATCGTGTTGCCTAATGCCTTCGTTCTTTTTCACAGTAATGAAAGAGATACTGTCTGAATTTGGAATTCAGGGAGTCAGCAATGGGTGAGCTGCTTCCATAGAGTGTCACTATTCATTTTGTGAAGTGTGCTCTACCTTATGCTATCTTTGGCTCTTTTCACCGTGGCGGTACCAAAAGGGAAAATTTCCCTTAAAAATATTACTGCATGCCTCAGAATGGAAATAACTATATAGGCAACACTTTTTATCATCATGACCTCCACTTTGAAAAATTAAATCCTTAAAATGGCATTTAAGTGGTCATAGATTACTATTGAATCATTTTTGTTCTATTCGGATGCATTTTTGTTTTTTGCATTGTCTGTCTTTGGCAAGATTTGCTCCTACGAAGATTCCAAACATCAAGTACGAGCTAAGTGAGCCTTCGTTTCCTGTTAGGCTTGAAATGCATCCCCCTGCAAAAGTGAGTTTGAAGGTCTCAGTATAACCTCTTTATTCCAGTGATAACTTAAGCTTGTACCCCTGATCATACTGTATGTGGCTCCAAGCTGTGAAACTAAGATCCCAGTCCAGTGGGAAATGCAGCCAGTGCAGCCTAGAAATCACTAAGAAATATATGTGTTCCTTTCCCCTCATCCTGTTTTACATATTTAGAAATATTCTGTTCTGTTTATTCAATTATGCTCTGTGATAAAAAAATAATTAAATTATATTGAAAGCAACTTCTCTGTTTTGGTGAATGTTTGATATGTTTGAACTATTTAGACTGCAAGTCGCAAGGATTTCGCTGCTGTCCGTAATGAAGCAATGGACATGATCCAGAGGGCTTTCTCCATGTTAGACTCGGAGTTCCAAAAGCTCGACAGGTACATTTATTAGTAGTATCATAATCATTAGAAGTAATTGATGTTGCTGTAGTAGTGCCCATATTAAACTGTGTGAAACCTTCTGCTGCTAGTTCATGAAAAGCCCAGCATCAAAGGGTATGTCAAACATTCCCAATACCCTATGAATTTAAACTTTTTCATGTACTTTTAATCAGTTTTCTGGATAATGCCATGTTGCCAATTTTGATCTTTTGTGCTCTCCCACCTGCTGTGAAACTTTGAAGTCAAATCAAAGCATAAATATGCTTTCTGAATATAGCAAAGCTAAAAGGACAGCCAGACCTGGGAGGCCTCCTCAACCTGAATCAGTTACACTGTCTAATACATGACACAGCTACTGTAGTTTTACTTACACTTGACAATATGTTTAATGTTTATGAAAAATTAAATCCATCTGACGTTTATCCTAACTGATGATATGTGATTAGATATTGCTTTAAATATTGTAATTGAAGCACTTTCCTTTATTTGTTATAATAGTATTGTTTTGTTGTATTGTCACAAATAGTGTTCCTTAGACACTTTCATATAGTGAGCAATGCCTGTTTGATTTCTGTTTAGGCATGTAAGAGGCTTAGAAGAGTTAATTTTAAGAACAAAAAACCCAATCCACATCAACTGCCATGGTTTTATGTTCTTTTTTTTAACTTTCTTTTAGTAAAACCACTTGTAAGAAAGCCTGGGTGGCTTGGGACACAAAAGCTCATGACATGGGGAATTCCAGAAGGATCACAGCTTTATGTCAGTGCTTCCCTTTCCAGGGCAAGACAGAAGGAGGAGGAACAGAAAAGGCCTGTAGGCAGAGTGTAGAGTTCTGGCAGGGAAAACGCAAAAGAAACACAATTGTGTCGCATTAGCATGTCGGTAATCAAACAAAACCCAGGTAAAACAAAACAGGACAAACCAATATACAGAAGCAGCAGGGCAAGGAACAGCACTGCAACAAATCAATACGAACACTTATGGTCACTTGACTGTAAATTTTTTTTCCAGGTTGCTGGTGCATTGGTTTTGTGTGCGTTTCTTCATTTACGTAGCTTTCATATTATGTTTGATATTAAAGGTCAACGGTAATCATTTTTTTCTAGCTAGATGAAACTAGGTTAATCTTGGAGAACTGTTTGTACCCTTTGAGATAACTTTTACATGGTATTATTTTAGGACCAATGATCAAGTGCTTCTTTTCCAACATTAAAAACTGACAAAACTATTGCGTTAACAAGCCACTATAATGGTAAGGAAAAATCCTGCAATGACATGGTTGGTGATTTTCAAAAATCATGCAATGGTTTAGCCGTGGTCAGTAGGACACAGCAAGTAGCATAAACATCTTGGTCAGTTTCACCGTAAGGCTGTGAAGAGCAAACGCAAACGTTTGGTCACTATGACCTGTTGCGTTGCTAAGTTTGGTCTAGATGGATCGAACATGCTGGATCACCATCGATATCCAAGGAGGGCAGAGGCGTTGGTTGATCAATGGACTGATGCAGTGGGCTTAAATGTACTGGCTTGTGCAAGGAGACATGGGATGCGCTATTGACCTATTGACCAGGCAGCTACAGTTGGTAAGTAACAGGGTTGATTCGCCGAAGGATTTTGTTCCACCGGGGGGCACAGCTTTTTTGAGAGGAGTCGGAGACTGATATCACAGATAGAGAGCCACACCTACTGTCCATGGAGTTGGAGTGGTGCAGGGCAGCATCAATGACCGGGGCCCATCTTCTGTCATTGTATGACACAGCACAGCTGTATATGTGTCATTCTCAGGCTTGACTGCTCTTCTTAAACCAGTTGTCAACAGTGAACACGTTGCTGGGGTAGGGTAGGGGGCTGGTACCCTAGTACACACTGAAACCAGGTGAGACAGTGAAGAATGGTATGAGGAATTTTGTGCATGATAAACCCACAGGTCATACTGGCTCCAGTCTGCTTGGTTATTAGCGCAGTACGAACAGAAGAACCTTCCTATCTCCTGGTTTAACCAGTCATATTGTCCATTTGTTTGGGGATGAGAAAACTTAGGAAGATTCCCATCCAACGACAAAACTCTCTCCAGAACCTGTCCATGTCATCCCCAGTCAGTGACGATATGCTCCACCGTGCCATAAAATTGAAACACATTGTAAAAGGTGACTTCAGCTACCTCCACAGCAGATGGCAATGTGAGCAAATTGATCTATAACTTCCAGTATCACAGTACAACCCTGTGACCTTAGCACACCGGGGATGAAGTCCATTGTGATGTAGGACCAGGGGTGTTGGGGCACAAGTAAGGGTTGCCGTTGACCTGACGGAGCTGCTCTTGTGGTCTTTGATTGGGTGCAGACAAGAGAAGATGAGACATAATCTTAAATATTCTGCTCTGTTGACCATCACCAAAAGCGTGGACTCATCAGCTCTGTGGTCCTTCATATGTCTGGAAGCCAGCGGAGTATTGGTTCACTGTGTGAGTTATGAATGAGGCTGGCACATGCTGTTGGTTAGGAGGCATGGATGGTGGAGTAGGATTACTCTGCAAAACATGCTTCATCTTGCCCAACAGTTCCCATATAACTGGAGGGATGAAACAGGTCCACAAGTGAGGAGCTTTGGTCAGGTCTGTGGGAAAGGACATCCGCCTTGGATTTCTTCTCCTCTAGAAGCTAAGTGACCCTGCACCTAAAACGGGCAAAGAACATGGCCCATGGAGCTTGCTGAGGCCTCAAAATTTTGGTACTTCACACATATTCCAAGTTCTTGTGATCCGTAAGCACATGAAATCAATGTTTGGCCTCCTCGAGCCAGTGCCTCCTCTCTTCAAGGGCCAACATAATTGCTAGCAGTTCCTAGTTACTTCACTCTGTTTCAGACAATTTATGTGAAAAATGGTGCAAGAGTGCAATTTGGAAGGGGTGTCACTTCGCAGGGACATCACTGCTCATGCAACGATGCTTCATGTGTCTACTATTGACGAATGGCAGCTCAGGATCGGGTTGTCTGAGGATTGATGCTTTGCCAAAAGCTTTCTTCAGCTGATATAAAGCAGCTTGTCCGCTTTGGGAGTCCTGGTGATCAGCTGATATTCCATACAGATTAATGCCATTATCAAATGAGTGCAGCACTGGGCTACTCTGATGATACAATGCTATAACCCACTATCAAGCTTTTCTGGTCAGCAGGATGATGGTTAAAGCTGACCCAGTTGGCATCTGAAACAAACAGATGTTTTTTATTCTGGAGGTACAGCTCACACTGCATAACAATTCCCTGGCAGTATTCAGGAAGACCATTGTAGTGCTCCAGAAAGGGATAGTGATGGGATGGAGCAGGAGCTGTGGCAGCAGCAGCGGACAGTGAGACTGGAGGTTGAACCGGGGCAGGAGATCAGGTGGAAGACGTATCCTTAAGGTACCGCTACAGGCGGGCTAGATTAACATGGAGCACTGCTAGGTCCATGTTGAGATGAGGAATTCTGTAACAAGAAGCCTAAAGGACAGGGGATCCAACTGCAGAGCTAACAGGAAGCCAAAATGAGAAGCGAGGTTCGTAGTCATAAATGGAAGCAAAGGCTGAGAAACCATAAGATCGGTCCGGGGGGGTGAAATCTAAGGCAGGCACAGATGCAAACATGGGAGAAATGAAATATGCGCTTGCACTGAGATGGGGATTGGGGCAAACACTCACCGGGCAAGGTAACTGGTAACACTCATTAAATCACACAAAGGGAGAATCAAGCACTCAGGAAAAGAAGCACTTGGTATTCAGACATAGGTCAACAATTCCTCATACTGGGGAAACCAACTAGACCGGTTTATTTGCCTAGACAATTAGGGGAATAAGGTATAATGTCTGTCCTCCAGGGACAGCAAATGGCAGAAGGGAGTGGTTGCTGTGAAGATGGTGGAACCCGAATTCAGCCTTACAATGATGCTGTCTTGTTTTGGTTGCTTGGACACAGTGAGCAGTCAGCAATCGCCCAGACTGCAATGGCTCTTCAGTATGAACGAGAGGCCTACTGCATGCAACATCAGAAACAGCAACAGGTCTGTGTTTAATTACAGCTTTTAATAAGATGGTTGAATTAAACAGATTTAATTAAGAATGCCATATATAGAATTTGCAGAAATCTGACTGAAACCCACTTAAGAAACAGTAAACAACATGTTTGTGTATGTGTCTGGAAGCTTTTGTCTGTATAGTTTTATTTGTTCAGCAATTCAGTGTATCAGTGGTGCAAAGGAAGCCGTTATATTTGTAATTTGTGTTTTGCAGGAGCTTAAGGAATTACTGGAGAGACACAAAGCACAGAATGAGTCCTGGCTACGCGCTAGGGCAGAGGAGAATGACAGGGAGAGGAAAGAACTGTGTAAACTGAGGGTACATTTCAGCACTGACATATACAAAGCGGTTTTGTTTCTTATACGTAAACTACTTCAAGAAATTTTTGTATGTTTATGTAATGTGATGGCATGAAATTCCTGGTAAACAAGTGACAGTTTAAAACATGTTTTTTATCAGAAATAATAGTACAGTAAAGTCACACAAACATCATATATTCAAACTTCACTAGCTATCTACTACAGGTAAAATCACACTTCCCTTGTTTCAGATTAGCCTTGCTTATACACATTGAGCTGTCGGAGGCTTAATTTGTTAATTTTGTCTTACGTGTCGTTAATTTTTCATCAAACAAATATACATATGCACAGCACATGAACTTATCCATATTAAATTTTAATACATTGCACTTCTAGTAACGTTAAGTGCATGTTAAGGTTGTAAAACAATCATTTCTTTATTCTACTCCATAACATTTACATTTGTATTTATTTAGAAGATGGTTTTATCCAACGTAAAACATATAGCACACTATTACATGGTCCATTACTGTGGTAAAAGATTCTTATACCTACCTACATTCACTGTTCTGTAGTGATAATCAGTACAGAAAGGAGGGTTATCTACCATCTCTGTTTTAGATGTACTTCCTCCCAATAACAATGTCATCCAAACCCATCATCTCTTCTAATTCTGGCTCATGGATGCTCAGGACTGTGGCCAGCCCCTGGCTGTTACCAGATTTCAGCCTCTGATGACTTTGCTCTTGGCTAAATGTCCAACTTCAGGCATCTGCGGCCATGGGAAGGCATGCTATTGTGGCTGTGTAAGGTGTAGAAATGGTAGCTGGTGAATGGTAATGCTTCCAGCACAGGCAGCTGTAGCAGACTTTGCACAAAGCCAATCACCCCTGTGAGTTTCCATTTCAACATTGTTCTGCCTTCAATGGAAAGACATATATTGCAACCTCTTTGACCTTTCTGAGGGCTCAGAATTGGACAGTATTTTCCTATAATCTGAAGTCATTTCAACTGATCTCTTTGCTAGCAGCACTGAAGATTGACTTCTATTTTGTAGCTGCTCACGGCGAATTCGGTGTATTCCAAATCAAATCTTTCAATGAGAATATTCTTTTTCAGTTCAAAACATTTATTGAGCCTAGCTAGCAGTTCTGGCAACATTTTTGTCTTGTTTTTTTGGTGCTATCAAGTTCTATAGTCTAAACATTCTAATCTGGTGCTTCTAAAATTCTGCTTTCCAGTAACAGCCAGGAAAACAGACATTCATAGTTCAGCCGCCACTTTATTTATCACAAAGAAAAAGCCACTCCATAAAGATGAAGCAGCTTTCTTTCTTGACGTGAAGCTCAATGTTCACTGCTTCTTCTCTAAGAAGCATAATTTCTTTTCTGTCTCCACGAAAACTGCAATTTTCTTGACACTTCAGATCTTTCAAAGATCTTTGCAGTGGTTTGTGGAGGCCACACATAAAACATATCATCCAAGTCAAAGAGTGTAGATCAAGGTCTGAATGTTACGGTTTCTAATAAGAACTATTAGGAAAAATGTTTTGTTTTGATTTACAGATGATGTTAAAAAATATACCTACAACCCAAAATACTGACAAATACTGATAATGATTTATGCATCTGTTTTTAAGGTGGGTGGCTAAAGACTAGCTGTACTTTGTTAAAAGCAAATTTGAATTATCCTTTAGAAAGACATGCCTTTGTATTTCGATTTGATTCCCTCTAGCAATGAAATTTTGTAATGTTTTCCTTTTTTGTGATTGATTATATAAATGTAGTTAATGTTTTTGTTGTTTTTTTGTTTGTTTGTTTTGCCAAAAAATATATTGACAAAAAAGGAAGAGTGCCCTGTTGTGTGCCCAAAACTCTCAGCCTAGAACCAGATCACTAAATTAAATACTCACATTCAGTACAGTTACATACAGAGGCCCACTAACCCTGCATAGGCCTTACTTACCTGCTTGCTAAAATAATACCTAGAGAACCAAGCAAGACACAACTGGAGCTAAAACTGATTTAGTATAATAAGACCATGTGACTATGCAGGACAAACACCAAAAGCTGACTTTAGAGGAAAAATACATTTTTTTATTTAAATAAGTAATTTTAGTAAGTAGTCAACACATCATTCTGAACTGAAAAATCAAGCCTGTATTTTTTTTCTTTTTTGCAGGAAGAGATTTTGCATGAGCAAGAGAAACTGAAAGAGGAACAAATCAACATGCAGAAGCACAGTGAACAGCTCCATTCGATAATGCAGCAGTTCAAAGGCATGTGACAATGTTAGGATAATGCTCTGCAGTGTATGAGCTCTACTGCAGTCAGTAAGGTGGATATGAGTGCCTGAAAGCTCTCACTGAGCTGCTCACACCTGTCACAATACTATGCTTCAAAGGAATACTCTATATGAACAAAACATAAATGGCACAAACATATTCAACATTACCTCTCAGAAATCTGTGTCTTGTCTGTCTTAAATCTGTTGTCTCTGTTACATTACATTTGAATTTATTCAAATTATAAACATTTTGCTGTTGTAGTTAATTTAAAAAATGCAGGTTAACCACAGAGATCAATAAAATATTGTTCCACCTACAGTGATTGGTAAAAGTATTCAGGTCTTTCTTATCGTGTCCCATTTTTGGAATTATGAAATAATGCACATTTTTTAAATTAAAAATTTATTCTGAACCAAAATGCTCAAATTCTTGTTAGTGATAATATTACTCTAAGGTCTACCCAAGTATTCCAGCAAAAGTCTATGACAGCCTGTTGATGATCAGAAACAGGAACCATGTTGGGTTTAAAGGAAAAGTAAAAAAATAATAAAAATTACCACTGATGTTAAACCTGGTAGGAGGCATATTACAAGGTATATATCATTACAACTACCATAGAAGTTATCCAAAACAATCATTTTCGCCATAAGATATATTTATCTAACCTTTTTAATGCAATATTCCAAACTTTAGTGTTTGATTTCTGGCTCTTCTATGTACTGCATCTGTAGAATCCCATATATGATAAATAAGAAGATCTCTTAGAATATGAACCACATCTTTGTTGTTTTATAATACAGTATGTCGTGCTGTGCCATCTACTATTCAGACTGTCCATTGCACAGCCTACGTCTGTTTTAGGTTTTGGGGAAACAAAGCACTGTTTTTCATGACTGATCATCAAAATGAATATGATGAACATTGATGGCAGATGTACTTCTACAGTACCAGCACCTCTCCAGCTTGCAATGGGTACCAGGATTTCACTCCTCAAGAGGAAAATTATAAGCAGTTCTGGCCTCAACTTGCGGCGGCCTAACCTCCGTGTATATGAGTGTATGAGAAACTGATCTCTTTATCCTTATGTACAATCCTGTCATGTACAGTGAAAAGAACATCATTAATTTGCCTTTTCATTTCCTACTGCAATACTGCAATGTGCTGGGCCCTGTCCTATACATGTACATATTTTGCTCCCTGATGGACCATCGGGGGCTCATTGCATTTGCTCGATTCACGTGCCTGACAACATTAACACAGCAGCCTCTTCTTGACATGATGACTCTAACCATTAATTCCTTACGCCGCGAGCTGTTAGGCTTTCAGGCAGCTGTCAGTGCTAACTAGAGAAGCAGCTAGTGAAGGACATCTTTGTGCCTTTATAAACCTCCTTCATTGTCCAGCCTAGCCATTGCCAAATAGAAGACAGGTAGCTTTAAAGTATTCATTCATGCAAAGGCTGACCATTCTACCCTGCTGATAACAAAGCAAGTGGGAATACGTTTCCATGATTCAATGGTACTTTATAAAGCACATGATGACAGCAGGGCTGTTACTGCAATCTTCACACAGATTGCTACACTGCCAGGAAAAAAAAGTTTTGGCACACAGACATTTTGTACATTTGCATGCTACTCACTGAACATTTACTAAAAATACACTCGATTTTCTTTGCTAATAAATAAGTTTACAGTATATTCACCATTTGATTAGCTTTATTAGCAAGAAAATGTCATATCTTTGATTCATCAAAGTAACCTCCTCCAGCAGTCATAACAGCAGAGAAAATTTGATTCATTTCTACAAGGGGCATTAAACACTGCTCTGTTTCATGGGATAAAACAGTTAACTAGTACATTTAAAGTTAAAGGACAGCCTAGAATTTGACCCTGCCATCACCACACAACCAGTTAATAACATGTCAGACATGCACTGTTACATACTCTTTCCATGTTATGAAAGGAAACTTGTTTTATTTGGCTTCTATTAATAAAGGAAAATTGTTTTGACATATTTATATTTATAAATGAAACTTTATTTGACTTGTATTTATAGAAGTTCACTCAACATTCCAATGCTTAATAAGAATATGAAGTTTATGAAATAAATGGAAAAGTGGTGAAAAACTGTGGTGTGCAAAAACTTTTAATTGGTAGTGCATGTTATGGTATACCAAGATTATCAGGCACAGTGAGGAAACAGAACACTGGACCCAAAGTGCCGGAGACGGTCTTTATTGAACACAGGCGTACAGAACCCAAGGACGAGGCAGAAGCGTAGTCAGGGATGGAGCTGGAGGGTCACAAGCGGAGAAGGTCAGTCCTACACCAACACGCCACGCAGGGAAGCGGGAGACACAGGAGGATGAGATGGGCAGGGGTAGGGTGACCAGATAATCCATGTCAGGGAGGACATTCTCAGCTAGGACAGGAATTGTAAATTAAACGGACCTGGATTTCACATGAGCACTTGAGTTCTTGCTGTGTGCTGATTGGTCAGTCTCCTATAATCATGATGTGTCACTAATGCTAATGTGAGTCTTTGGATGAGTCTTTCAGTCAAGGAAACAAACCAGTCAAAGCACAAGAAGAGCTGAACTATTTAGCCGAGCACAGGAGCCTTTCAGTTTGAAAGTAGTTTGTAAAACCCGAAGTAGCTCAAAGTGTCCTCCCTGACATGGATTATCTGGTCACCCTAGGCAGGGGTGGCAGGCAAGGAGGCAGGGTGGCAGGGATAGGGAAAGGAAACAGTAGACAAAGGTCAGACACTCAGCAAGGCTCATCTGGCATGGCAACAATATTTTGCGATTAGTGTGAAGCAGTGATGGCCTTTTGACAGCGGTCAGATTGCTTGCAGCTGGGCCGCCGCGCGTACGTGACGAAGATGCCTTGTCTTTCTGCATTTTTATCACCACAAAATGATCAAGGATTTACACATTACACATATAAAATGACATTTAATAACCTTTGTAATAACATACATACGAAAAGTGCTCACAGAAAGCCTTGGGATGCTTGCTTAATTCAGTAAAAGTGTTGCGCATTTATTGGTTTTAGAACAAAAACCATTATTCATTTACAAAAAAATATGTATAATGCTAGAAACAACCAGTAGTTTTAAATAAAACATTAATTTCAAGTAGCAATAAATTGAAACCCAACTTACAGTTTGAACAGAGCTGTTCTGAGTTAAAAAGTTAATTGACAAGCAGTCTCACTGGGTGCTTTTAAATTAGTAACAGCTTTGCACTAACATAAAACACCAAACATTTCTGTTTAGTATCTCTCTGGGAGCCAATGACTGCAATTGCAATTAATAACAAAATGGCAAGAACAGAACTGAATGAGTTAGTCAAAAAAAACTATGACAATAAAAAAAAAATGTGTGGAAGATATATGCAGACATGTTACGTATTGCTTATTAATGCTTTTCTTTGTTATGATACCAATAAATTTGTGACATTTTTACAGAATTAAGTGAGCATCCCAAGATTTCCTGTAAGCACTGTATATACATAACCAACTTAGTATTAAACAACTACTATGCAAACTGGGACTTAGTAAAAAAAATATATATATATATATATATATATATATATATATATGTGTGTGTGTGTTTGTGTGTGTGTGTGTGAATTCTCTGAGAGATAGTTTCACCAAATTAACTACATTTTGCACTGTTATGAAATACAACCGTATGAAATACACTGTGTAAAATGTAAATAAAAATAGAATGCAATGATTTACAAGTCACATAAACCTATATTTAATTGAACATAGAACAAAAACATATCAAATGTTAAACTTAAGAAGTGTAGTTATTTTATGACAAATACAGGATCAATTTGCATTTGATGCCAGCAACATGTCTCAAAAAAAGTTGGGACAGGGGCAACAAAAAGCTGGAAAAGGTGTGTAATGCTAAAACAAAACTCCTGGTTGAATATCTCACAACTAATTAGGTTAATTGGCAACAGGTCCATAAGATGATTGGGTATAAAAAGAGCCTCCCAGAGCGGCAGAGTCTCTGTGCAGTGAAGATGGGGAGAGGTTCAGCACTCTGTGCAGTGAAGATGGGGAGAGGTTCACTACTATGTGAAAGACTGTGTGGGCAAATAGTGCAACAATTTAAGAATAATGTTCCTCAACCTAATATTGCAAAGAATTTGGGAATTTCATCATGTACAGAACAGAATATCATCAAAAGATTCAGAAAATCTGAAGAAATCTCTGTACACAAGGGACAAGGCCAAAAACTAATACTGGATAGCTGTGATCTTCGGGTTCCTCAGGTGACACTGCATTAAAAACAGACACGATTCACTGCATGGGCTCAGGAACACTTCTGAAATCCACTGTCTGTCAACACAGTTCGTTGCCGAATCCACAAATACAGGATTCTACCACGCAAAGAAGAAACCATACTGTATCTAAGCATGATCCCAAAACATCACTGACTTCTCTGGACCTGAGCGAAGAGGGAGTGAGGCAAAATGTAAAACCTGTAGCCTGATGAATCAAAATTTCAGATTATTTTTGGAAATCATGGAAAAATGTGTTCTTCCTCTAAACCGTGTCCTCAGCTAAAAAGGAGAGCGACCGCCCAGCTTGTAATCGCCAGACAGTTCAAAAGACAGCATCCATGATGGTATAGGGGCTGCATTAGTGTCCATGGCTTGGGTAGCTTGCACATCTGGGAAGGCACCATAAATGCTGAACAAAATATACAGGTCTTGGAGCAACATATGCTGCCATCAAGACAACGTCTTTTTCAGAAGGCCTTATACATTACAGCAAGACAATGCCAAACCACATTCTGCACGTTACACAGCATACGTAGTAGAAGAGTCCAGATGCTAGACTGGCCTGCCTGCAATCCAGACCAGTTCCTCAATGAAAATATTTGGCACATCATGAAACAACAAATACGACAAAGGAGACCCTGAAGTATTGAACAGTTGAAATCATATATTAGGCAAGAATGGGACAATATTTCACTCTCAAAACTCCAGCAATTGAAATGTGTTGCTGGCATCAAATTCAAACTGAGCATATATTTGTCATAAAACAAAAATTCTCAGTCACAACATTTAATATGTTGTCTTTGTTCTATTTTCAATTAAATATGCATTTATATGATTTGCAAATCATTGCGTTCTGCTTTTATTCACATTTTACACAGCGTCCCAACTTTTTGGAAATGGGGTTGTAACGTGCTTCAACTTGCGAGACAGATACGAAGGTTTGCATGGTAGTTTTAAGGAACTCAAGGTGCAGTAATAATTGTACAGAAGGGTCAGTGAGTCACAGCAGGATTCA